TCCCTCCTCCTCCCTCCCTTTGCAGTGCACACTCCCTTTCCCTTTTTCTCTTCCCCCGTCTGCCAGCATGCTCACTTATCTCTGCCTTTCTCTCTCTGTCCTGTTTCGGCAGCGTACAATTTTCTTTCGTTCTCTGCTCCTCCCTTCAGTGCATGCTATTTTACTGGTATGTGTAACAACCTGTCGTCTCTGCAATTTACGCCGTATTAAAAGGCTCTGCTCTGGGTAGTTGCGTCAGTGTGTTCCATGGCTGTGGCGTCGGTCGGTTGGTGCTTGGTTCTGGTTGCTCGTGGTGGTTTGGGTGGTGTTGGCGGGGTGTTTGGGCGTGGTTTGTGTTGTTATTGTTGTTGTGGGGGGTGGGGGGTTGTGTTTTTTGCAAGAGGGGAAGGGGAGGGTTATTCTCCAAGAAGTCAACTCCATCAGCGGCTTGCTTGTAATCAACCCTCGACAAGCATTTGCTAGCAGGCGGTTGTTGTTGGCATTTGCTACTACTCGTGCCACTTCCCGAAATGCCCCCTCCCCCTCCACTTCTTTTGGGGAGTGGATAGGGAGGGAATTTTGGTTTTTGACTTTTGATATGCACATTTGAATATTAGTGGGGGACACCCCGTCATATGCGTTTTAAAAACAACGGGATTACGCCGCTCACATGATCTATGCTCCCCTGTGAATTTGCCCAAGGCCTGAGTGCTGATGAAGGGGAGGGGGGAGGGAGGAGGAATACTTGTATCAGTCGTCATGTGTAGCTGCTTCTCTAATCTCTATAGCTGATAGCTTTTCCAGTTGCTTTGGCCAGTGCTGCATTGCCAGATGGTCAGCGTTTTGGCGATCCTCGGGGTCGTCTCATTTCTTTGGGGGAATTGCGAGCTCAGATTGTTTCTTCAGGTGCAGTCGCTTGACATGAGGACTTTTTTACATTATATCTTACGAGGGGCAGAGTACTTCACACTGCGAGCGTCCGTTGATCGTCAAATTATGGAATTAAAGGAACATTCGGCTTCCCTGATGAAAAACAAGGTGAGGTCGGGAAGCAGGAGGGAAGAGGGAA